ATCAAGATCTCTGCCAACAAAAAGAGGCTAGACACACATTAACAAAATCAATCGGCATTTTCCCTCGGTATCCTCAAGGGATTAGATCCAGGATTTCCTTTGGATACCAAAATCCATAGATGCTCATCTCATTTGCATATATCCTAAACACATCCTCCTGTATATTTTAATTCATTTGTAGGTTAGTTACAAAAGCTGAACCATACAGACACTGCTAATACTTCTACTTCTTAACCTGCACTGTTTAGGGAGAAGTGACAAGAAAAGACAAATTGGTAGCCATTCGATTTAAGGAAAGCCTGACTAATTTTTGTCCTGAATATTTTTATATGGTGCCAGTTTTTTTCCTGATATTTCCATTGGTTGAATCCATGAATGAAAAGTCATAGATGAGGAGGATAACTGTAACCAGGAAATAGTAATCACAAGAAGAAAAAGGACCTTAGGAGATCCTCTAGAGCAGTTTACCTTTGTACAGATTCTCAGATTATCATTGTATGGGCTCTTGACCAAAAGATCAAGAAGGGTAACTGACCATTAGTCTTTGACCTTTGCTTGTATTTAGACAGAACCAAAGATCCTACATTTTTGGTGGCTTTTTTAAAATCCTGTTTTCTTTCTCTTTTAATAGTCTCAGGTTTTTTTAACTTGGTTATCTTTCCCCATTTCAGACCCAAAATGTCTAAAAATGTTTCCTTCCATTCCTGCATCTTCACTGGTACCAGATTCTCTAGAGCAGACACACCAAAGTCTGAGGCTTCTTTCCTAGTTCCTGCCCCAAGTATCAAAGCCCTGATCTTCCTTTTAAAAAATATCCATTGACCCAAGTTTTATGATCTCAGGTTGGGTCTATTCTTCCTGTTCCCACATATTATTAAAATTTCCACCTGTTGTTTCCCTGCTGTAAGCATTGGGCCCAACATAAGACATACTCAGTTAGATTCTGCACTTCAGTAAGAGCCTGGGGTAGGTAATGGTATGCATAGAAAGTCTAAGAAGCTCCATGTTATGTGCACAGTGTCTTTGGCAAGCATTTTGCATCTATCAGCATACTACTGAATTTTACAATCCAGTGAATAAAGTACTAGTACTATTCCCTGGTACACAGGACCCAATTGAGGCCTAGCAGCTGTAAGAAAGATGCCTAAAGTCACAAGCTGATGTCCAGGATTTTATGAGGAAATCTTAGTGAGGGAACAAAATTATGAATGCGCAGTTAGGACAGGCCATGGGGAAATAGAGCTGAATTCTGGAAGACGTGTACAAATTGGCCAGCCTCAAGATTCTCACATTCAAGAATGTGAATCTTCCAGAGAGAAGCTGACAGCATGTGCAAAGTACTGAGATGGGAAGAAATGGGATGATTGCCAGAACAGAGGAAAACAGTGTGGATTCAGAGTCCTGACCAACAACGGGAATGCAGTGATGGGATGGCTTTTCAAACTTGCTCAGGAATTTGAATTAATTTTCAGTAAATGCCAAGAGAAATCTCGAAGGCAAGTCGTAAGTGTTCCGAATGATCAGAGTCTAAACAACCACTCTGATTGCTGTACGGAGAACGGAACGAAGGAGGCAAGGAAGGATGTGCAGCGCAAGGGTCGTCAGAGGGCCTGAGTGAGGGAGAGAGGAGTGAGCAGGGAAATTAGGAGACAGAAGGTAAATGGGTGCGCTGGAGATGTTACTCAGAAACAGAGCTCACAGGATCTGGACTACAACTTACTAACCATCCTTAACACGACAGGCGGGGCCCCCAATGTGGAAAATGCCAGGAGTCCCACTGTCCCTCTCTGCTTACTGGAGTCTCCTTCCTCTCCTTTCCAGCCGCGCGCCTTCCCTTCCCGCTCCCAGTGGGTATGAAATTGAGACTGGAATCCTGGAGCAGGCAAACTGGAGAGGCTCCGGAGTGCATGCGCACTGACCACCCTGCAGCGTCATAATGATGTGTGCCCTCGGACTTCCTAGTGTGTTTCGTCCACTCCAGGGATGGCTGGCTGGTCTCGGGAAGGTTCTACATCCAAAGAGGAGCTGCTAGTGCCCTCCAACACTACTGTGACATTGTAGAGTGAAAAAAACTGCATGCTCAGGTTCGAGATTGAGCTCTGTCCTGGCTGCTGGTCTCAGCTCCAGAGCCAGGTTCTCCTCCGGCTGGGAGGAGCTGAAGGAGAATTATGCTTCAGCGATTCTCCCAGCGGCCGGTGAGCCCCCAGCACAAAGAGGAAGCTCTGACTTAATGACTCAATCAGTGGGCAGCGCTGAGGAAGAGTTTTTACAGCTAATAGTGGCCAACTTCTTCAAGGAGAATACAATTTTTAGCATCTACTTTAAACTGTCATACTTTTTGCTTGATTTTCTTCTTGTTTCTAAAAGTGTCCTTTGGAGAGTGGTAGTAGTGAAATTGAGGTAAAAAAAGCAATTTTCCTTTCATCCTAAATTAATTTTAGACGCAGTCACATACAGAATGACTTACAGATCTAGGATTATTCCCTGCATGCTGAAAAAGAGTGAAGATATGCTAACCCAACTTGACTACTTCAGACCTCACCGATTTTAGTCCTATTGATTATTTGCATTCACAGCACTGTTGTGTTTTTTGCATTCAAATCTCAAGAGTTTCGTACCACTACAGATGTATGAACGTGCATACCAAACTAGGCTCTTTTATCACATTTATTTTTCCTTTCCTAGAGGGGCAAAGCTCTGTTCTGGTAGCCCACATCAATTTGATTCACAAGCTGGTTCATTTGAAACTGGGATCATCTGTAAGTGGAGGAGTATTTAGAAGCATACCTCCTGAAGAGAGATTCCCTTTGTAATGTCAGACAGTGAGGCCTGAGTTGGTCTTTGCTGGAAGGTTTGTTGTTCTGCTGTTTGCTGTCAAGAATTTCACTCTGATCCTGCAATAAAAGCTTGTACCCCATCCCTCCTTAAAGAGAGAGCAGCCTTAGCCTGGACCTAGTGGGTTCTTTATTCTCATCCGTGCCCAATGGCTGCATCGATCCCAGTGATCTTTGAATCATCCTATTCTTTTGTCCACCTTGGGAGTGATAGAGTTTACTGTAGGATTCTGACGTTTGACAGCAAGTTTCCTTTGACCAAGTTGGAATCTGGTAGGCAAGCCTATGCAGATGCTTGAGGTAAACCCGTAGTGCTATATAGACAAGTTGGTGGAAACAGATATCAGGGAAGAACCACAACCCAGAGAAACACAAACTGGTTCCTACATTCAGGAAAAGTAATCTGAGAAAGACTAAAGATTGTCCTCCCTTTTCTGTGAAATTCTACATAAAGTTCTTATATTGAAAAAGTGTCTCGTTTTCTTAGACTTTATCTCATCTTTCTTTTTCTGTCTCCACTATTTTCTGCTTTACAATTTTCTATATCTTTTAGAAAAGCCACACGAGACTCCATGGCTGCAGAAAGGTAATGCTGCTCCACGTTTGTTCTTTTCCCTTTAAAAGACTTCTGAACTCAGGAGTTTCCAAGTTGTTCTAACGATGAGCACTGAATCTTTGACTGTGACTTGGTTTGCTGTTGCCTTCCAATTCCATTTGTATCTTTGGTTGCTGGCCTTTTATTTAAGCATTTACCTGGCACTGTATGCGTATTGGACACTCACTGATTCAAGGAAGAGAGGGAGTTGAAGGTCACTGGACTCAAGCTGTGACCTCTGCACTGGAGACACCTGGAGCGCACAGATAGTATTCAGTGGTCTGTACAAGACTTTCTGATGAGGTAGTGAGATGACAGCGTGTACGCCTCTGTATGCTCAGCTCATGGCCTGTCTCCACTAGGCCCTGTCGCTCAGCCACCCCTCGCTGAGTCTCAGGTTGGAGCATGACCGGGATGTGGCAGCACCTGTGTGTATAGATGTGGGCAAGGAGGGCTCTGCTGAGCTTAAGACGACAGCAGTGTGATGCAACACGCTGTCCGCTAGCAGCAGCTGCTCACTCACAACCCCTGACAAATAACGTTTTACTGGAAACAGCCTCTTACCCATCATCCGTGCGTCCACCTACCACCCGCATTTTTACCGGTTTGCCTAATCATCTCCCTGCTTTATGCTAGAATGGGTTTGGTCCTAAGAAAACACCAGGGCAGTTCTCTTATAAATAGAATAATCTTATTAATGAGGTTATCAAACAATGCCACAGAAAAGTATTAGCCTGATAATAACATACATTTTATAAAATTTTGTAGTATATAAATATGTGTTGTCAGGGCTGGAAATTTAGCTCAGTGGCACAGCGCTTGCCTGGCAAGTGCGAGGTCATGAGTTCAGTTCTGGTACCAGGAAAAA